TAAAATCTCTGTCATATTATCACATATTTATTGATTTGTGCGATATTCAAAATTTCCTCTCATCTTATGATATACTTATTGATTTATGTGACATCTTCAAGCAATCTATGAGAATATTCCTATAAAACTTAGAGTAACATAAATTATGTCCCGCTGTAAACCACTCATCATTTGCTGTAGTGTTATTCTTGGAAATTTATAAGTACTTGGAGCACTGAAATTTGTCAGAATTTGACCTTTCAACTTTGAATGTTGAAGTACTTTGAAGATGAAAATATGTGTATGGCAACCTCTATACACACTCCACAGGGAAGGGCTTACGCCTTAGAAGATTTATTGCAAATATTTGGACAATAATGATCATTAACTATTTGAAAGCTGAAAAAGTATGTGGTCGTCATAAATGTATATTTCCAGTGCTCTGTCGCTCTGTGTATTCCACGGAGAATGTGTCGAACTTGTCAGTCATATCAGTTTTCTCACTGAGGAAGTATTCGTCACAAAATTTATAGATATATCAGGTACTTCCGATAGCCTGTGAATATGAACATTAACATTCCTGCCTATCTCCATAGAAGGATGTCGTGATCCAAGTGTGTCCTTCACTGTCTGTATTTGTCAGTAAGGTACATATATCAAGCAAACAATAACAGGATTTAGATAGCTGAGATGTCTACCTACCCATCCCCTATCTCTCCCACCCCATATCTCACCTGGCCCCACTGATTACAGGTGGAATGTGAAGCATCTGTCATTGCTTCATACCCGTTGTTTGGTGTCAGTGTTCAGATATGGCTGTGTTAGACAGCACTTGATCACACACTGTGACAGTGTTTTATTAGTTTTGATAGATAATTTAAATATTTAATTTTGGAGAGAAAAATGCCCCATGTATTTGATTTTCAGATTGAGAAGTCTGTACAGGTTATGATTACATTTCACTTTATGACTTTGTCGTAAATAGAGCCTCACAGTATATGTTGTCACTTCAGGAGTTGTAGACTAACGCTTAGTCCCTGAATATATAGAAGTTTTATCGTTACAAATAAGCCCTTTTAAATTAAAAAGGAGGCTCAGTGAGTTGGGAGATTCAAGAACCTGGGCCCCTATTCTCGAAAGTGTCGCAGCTAAGACAGATCTTAACTAGTTAAGACAGGAGTTAGGACATCGTTAGGATAAGACCCATTCTCGAAACAATCCCATCCCTGTCCTGACTTGTGCTACCTATCCTAGCTGGGATAGCGAGCTCTTCAGTAGGTGAGATAGAAAAACATTCATTAAGTTGGGGATTCCCCTAAATATTACCCATGATTCATTCACTAAAAAACACATACCGGCTAATATAAGGAAATTCAGCTTTTGATGGACTTAGTAGATCTAGAAGAAATTATTCGATATTTTCATCACATTATAGTAGTTTTGAAGTTTTTGAAAATTCATTTTTTGACAAGGCGATAACAATTTTTCTTTAGAATTTGAAAGTCTGCCAATAAACAATAAGGATATTAAAGATATGTGCAAAAAGATATTTTCATTGTATTTGTTTTTTTATGAAAATCATGACTTGAACTCTCATTATGCGTCATCTCACAAACTGAAAAATTCACCTTGGAAATAATAAGGAGTTACTTCCCCTATTAAGTTGGCCTTGAGGACCCAAGTTCTATTAAGATATGTCTCCCTCCCAATGTGGTGCTAAGCAGAACATTATCATGAAGGAGAACACACAGTGGCCAGTCATGCCCAGGCTACACTTATCTGTTCTGTCATAATACCAGATGTAATTCAAGACTTTGTCCCATCCCATTCACAATAGCCCCTGTTTGTCATGTATGGCAGTATGTTCGTGAATCTTCTTGAGAGAAAGTGTGAAGAGATTGATAGCATAGCTCTGGAATGTATGTCGTCGTGATATAGTGTGTAGACAATTATATTTAGACTTTCTGAGTCAGGCTGCAGGATAGGTTACCTTGTTGTGAATGAAAGCATTACGCAGGTGATCATGTGACCGATTACACCATGCAAGGCCCAGCCCTGTGTTGTAAGATGTTTGAGTGAAATAACCAATGAAGAGAAGCTGTTTATGTGTCTGAGATTTGATGAGATAATATCAAGTCATGCTCAAAATGGGCCTTTGACATTATAGAAGTTTCCCAACACGAACCTGAGAGATTGGAAATACTCATAAGTTGAAGTAAGTTTATTGGATATTATATTTTGCCTGAAACTCAAGATTTTAGTAGAGAGACAAATTCTATTAATTTATTTCTTCCTTCTTACATTATTTGTCTGATTATTCATTCATTCAATCATTCATCAGGTGTTGGTTCATTTATCAGGTGTTTTTTTATTCATCATTTGATTCTCTTGTCATTCATCTTTCATTTTATATTCATTCATTCATTCATTCATTCACCTTATTCATTTATCCATCTGAAAATTCCTTCATGTATCGCCTGATCATGCTCATACTTTGTTATGTCTTTCAACAATAGTATTACAAATCAATAGTCATTTATCATTTTACAACCAAATTGACCGATGTATGATTAAGAGATAAACATACTGTGTTGGAAAATCAGAGGTATATAACGTGATTATATGCCTATTTACTGAAGTCATGGTAGAATTTGGAAGATCCTAGGGATTCCGACCTGTCTTCTTTTTCTGTCAAACGTGGTGATACCTGCCGCAAGTGCATTATGGGGGCAATCTGCTAGACCGTAATCCCTGTCAGTCAGTATCAGCAGGAGACACATACATTGATTAGTCGTATCACTGAGTGACATCCAGCTGTTTGATGTTCACGTCAACGACTTCGTGCTGTCATCAGTATCATAAATAGACGCCACGATTGTCGATGTTGAAATATTGCGTTTAGTGAATTTGAATTGCTTTTGGTTGTTATCGGTGGATTGAGGCTAACGTGCAGTGTTATATTTGCTGCACCAAAAGAAAGTAACTTTTATACATAATCTGGTTTACTTCTACGAGTAGATTCTCTGCATATAAAATACGCCCTAATATTGTTTCTTGATGTAATGGCGCCTACTACACAAGACTGGTTCACAGTTGTACGTGTCATTTTGTCATTTATGATGACAGATTCCTAGTCCGATCTATTCTGAGAAACCTATTTTTACATTCTGAGCAAGTTAGTATTTCCTTATATGTATTTATGCTTATTATCTTGTCTCTTGAATGGGATTGTGTTTCCTCAAATAGTATTCAGTATAAAAATATATATAAAATGCTGAAGGATATACTGTTTGTATGACATGAGATGGGGAGTGTCAGTGACCTGGTGGCAGCTGTTACCATTTCTCAGTTCAACTAGGACAGTATGTTCCTGGACATTGATGTTTGTGACCTCGTAAACCAACATCGCTATTTCTGATATCTGTCAAAGACAGTGAGTGGTTTGCCTGTTATGTCCCATTGTGCAAAATTGTGCAAAGTCATGACAGGAATGGTCTTCACACATTGTTTCCATGTAGGGAATCAAACCTGACCCACCAAGGTGACAAGGGAACACTTTAACCACTGGACTATACCACGCCACCCCCCTCATATATGAAGGAAGCAGATGGGACACCAAGGTTTACTTTGTGGAATTTAGCGTTCTGGCTATATTGGATAGAGCGAGTAACTGCAAGATGGGTCAATTGCCGTACTGAGATGGTATTTACCTGTCTGCTTACTACACAAACAGTACACGTGGAGGCTGTGCTATTATAGACAGACAGTTCACATCCGCAGTGTCACTTCGCAGCACCTTCCCTGCAAGAATAGCAATGAGCCCCAGATCTGACGAGGACAATCTGTAACTTTGTCGGAACTATTTTGTCTCTTTGTGGGCTCCCATGGCCATCCTTTGTTGTTTGTGTGCAGGAATTTGTCCTTAATTCATTTGGGAGCGAAAAGAATTTGCATGACAAAACACATGAAGTACTTCCAACATTACAGCAGCAGCAGCCTGTAGTTTACATGGCATGTTTGTTATTTTGTGTGTAATTAGGAACAGTTTAATTAGGGGATGAGTTTTTAAGTGTGACTCCAGAATGGGAAGAGGGATGTCAGTTTGAATTTGTAAATCAACCGAGGACATTGTCCCAGACATGATTAAATCTGTGTTCAGTTTTAGTCTGTGGTTACTCCAGGCTTGATTCCTCATAGTACCAGACCCAAGTGTTGATTGGTGGACTCTGTGTCTTGGAGAAGGAGGGTAGGTTCTGTATGTCATTATTTGTGCAGGTTCTGTGTAGTTGTTTCTCATGGTGGTAGAATTATTTTCCCTGTGGTTGGAATAGATCAGTCAGACTCGTACTGCCTGTTCATCAGAGGAAACCTCAGGAATGGAAGGTCAGGCTTGGAGTCGTCGGATCCTGACAATGTGTGGACATTGCTCACAATATCATTCACTGGATTGTCTGATAGATTATTCACAAGCACATTCTGGAGTATTTGTGAATAATGTAAGCAAATTATTTGAATGTAAGGAAAGTGTATGATATTCACTTGTATCACTTGTTTATTTCATTTCCTGGAAATTAACAAAATACAATCACTGTAGCACAAACCAATCCAAATTTCATTAAAATCTTGTAGGATTGTTTTCAGGTCTGTCATCAATAATGTTTAATATTAGATACACATACATTTTGTATGTGCATATCATTGTCCTGAAGGCAGATGACAGGGAAACCAAACACTCTCCCTACCCAGAGTTTACTATAGTGTATAATTGCCGTAACAGTTCCAGCCTGCAACATACTGATACTGCCATAGGACAAATTGATCAATGCAATGAGTTCACATCAATTTGAAGTTTGATATTGCATACACATATTCCATACAAACAGTCAACAATAGAATATCAAGTTCTCTCTCTGTATCACAGGATTAATAATAAGTGCAAATTGATTTTCTGATCAATACATGGTGAACTCTGTCAAGAGAGGATCTTGTCAGTCAAACCAGATTTGTTGCTTTGCCATAAGCCTGACAGCCACTGGTCAACACAGCTCTGTCCCTGGTCAAGTACTGACCTGTGATCTTGGATGAACGAAGACCCCAGTATGAACAACGCTGCAGGCTGACTAAGGTGTTTAGCATGTGGGCGGAGATCCTTCATGGACCATAAACTGGGTCATGCAAGCTTTCACGGACAGCATTCTGCGGTTACGAGTTGCTATTTCCTGGTTCCTTATACACCCTGTTGTATACCCATCGTATCACGCGTGTGATAACCACCCCGTGTAGTACGAGTCGTGATTGTGTTGATTAGTCATACTGTGGATTCTTGTGGATGTATTGCTTCATACTGGAGTGTATCGATGTACGTAACTGAATGTGTTTATGTAAACAATCGTGACTGGGGGCCTTGAAAAGCCCAGGAGATAATGGTAAACAAAGGCACCCGCCATTCAGCCTCTGTAATTGACTTGAATGGGCTCGGTATTTGAGTCATTTAGGAGGCGCGCTTGGTATATACACTACCACGGAATTTTGGACAGGTAGATTTCAATTGGAGGTGTGATCATTCACAACTGACTACAGGTAGATATATTTTTACATAATATTCTGGTTGACAATTTTGAACATAATGTATTCAACATTCAAAGTGAATTAAATCTATCATTATTAAAAACATGTTTAACATTTTCAAGTATTCTTTAAACCTGATTTGTATCGTTTTGCCACAATACAGCTGAAATAATTTTGATGTGATATTACATTTTAACTTGTTCATATTTATAATTCTATATACACCTCTTTTTTGACATAATGGTTATCATGTTCATACTTCTATATATCCTTTATGTGAATTTATTATTTCTAGCAATATTGATTTATAATTAACTATTATGTTTTTCGGTATGTTTTGTTAAGCATATAAATTTTAAAATGATTTTCAAATAGTTAACAGTTATTTGAGCCTGTTGTGTCATGGCTTTTTTATAATATTTGTTGGGATGTTGTAATGATTCTGGGTAGCATATTCCAACTCACGGGAAGGTTATTGTGAACCAAATGAGTGGAGGACATAACCCTGGACATTAGAGAGCCGAAGGAATGTCCGTGACTAGCCTGTGTGCAAGTGGGTGGTGCACCTTGTTTGTACATTGAAGTTAAGGAGTGACAGCAGTTTGTGCAGGGAGGGGCTCTCAGTACTACATCAATACTGTGAAAAGAAGCATTAGTCAAAGTGTCATAGCTGAATATTTGTCAGAAGTTTTCAACACGTGGTCTTTGCAATTCCCTTTAGCAGAATGGCCATTTAAAGTCTCTTAGAGTTATTCATAGGACAAATGAGACGGCCAACGTGTTCATGTGTTGAACACAGCATGTGTTGCTTTGTATTTATTACTTATTGCTGACAGACATGTGTGGCATGTGTGTTATACCCTACCTTGTCGATAATTTTTTTTCATGCCAGGTGGGTTTGTAATTTGAAAATAACCCTCACCTCTCCTCTCCTGCCTAAACAAATTAAAAATAACTAATATATAAATTAAAATATTAAATATGAAATATAAAATAAATTAATAGTACAGATTGAATGTTACTTTAATTTGACACTACATGTTTGCACCATTGCTACCTTCAAAATTTATTTTGAAAGTCAGAGATTAATTAGCTGAACAATGATAATAATTAGTTTTAGAATTAATCCCAGAATGATGAGAGGTATCTGACTATGGGAGAAGCAAGGGAAACTGTTACCCATGTCGACTCTGCTGAAACTATGTTGATTGGCCATATTTTCAATATTGATAGAGAATGGGGCGCACACACTACCAGCCAGCCTATGTATCTTGAATTAGACTGTACAAGCACCTGCCCATAGGTTCTAATCAACTGTCAATATGTTCAAGAATATATTATAATCAAGGGTCAGAGACCTTAGGATGTTTATTCACTGCAATTATCAGAATGAACTTTGTGTCGTATCGGTGTTTTGTAACTCGGACAAAGTAAACAGGGCTGTTACTCTTACAAATGTTTGTTAAACACATGGCATTTGTTTCTGCTATTTTCCTGTGAAGGTCCGGGTTAGAATGTACCTTAAGTAACCCATGCTTGTCGTAATAGGCGACTAACGGGATCGGGTGGTCAGGCTCACTGGCTTGGTTGACACATGTCATCGGTTCCCAAATTGTGCAGATCGATGCTCATGCTGTTGATCACTGGATTGTCTGGTCCAGACTTGATTATTTACAGACCGTCCCATATGTGGCGTAAAACTAAACTCACTCACTTACTCAATTGTTGCTGCTATTAGATATAATGAAAACATTGTGTCTAAAAAGGTTTGGCTGAATCAGGTAGAAACATGTATTTTGTTGGTGGGTCACACTTTCACTTTAGTTGCTCTTGATGAGTTTGACGTTCACTTAGTTTCACACCTGATGAGCTGGGGGTAGCAGTGGTTAAAGCGTTGATAAGCGACCGGTATATTCTGGTTCAAGTCGTTGGTGCCAGTATAGTAGAATATTCTAAAAGCGTTATAAACTAAACTCAGTCATGTCACCTTGACCTTCATGGACGACAGGTGTTGACCCAATATTCTGGTTCAAGTCGTTGGTCCAGTTAGTAGTTCATGATAAACTGTGCCATGTTGACCTTCATGTCACAGCTGACCCAACGGGATTGGATCCCAGGTTGGCTGACTTGGTTGACACATGTCATCGTATCCCAGTTGCGTAGATTGATGCTCATGCTGCTGATTACTGGATTGTCTGGTCCAGACTCGATTATTTACAGACCGCTTCCTTATAGCTGGAATATTGCTGAGTGCGGCGTTAACCAACCAACCAACCAACCAGCCAATCATGTGTCAGATTTAACCCAACTCCATCATGACTTTCTTTGAATCTTATAATCTGTCATACTATTTTTGCTTTAATCAAATATGACCTTTTGAGGAACTAATTATTTCTACGGCTGTTTTCTGTTGTTGGTGTCCTTTCTGCATCAACAGCTGCATCATCTTAGCATCCATAAATTCCACAAACTTCAGAAACATGAACTGGAAGTTGAGTTAAGTTTCTTCACGTCATGGCAGGTTGACGGAGTGCGCCTGCACTCAGTAAGCAAGATTAAAAGTGCAAGTGCAGTGTCATGTCAGGCAAACATTTTTGTTAGAAATATGTTAGAGAGAAGGCCAGATTTGTCATGACCACCAGTTGTAGCCATGTGCAAACTGCCTGTTGCACAAATAGCATTCCTCATGACAAACAAGATGGGACTGCATTGGCGAGAGTTTTAGATTCAAGCAATACAATAACTGTTTGTTTGAAATTGGATATCTTACCTTGACCTTTTATCTGTGTGTTTCAAAGATAAAAATAAATCATGGTGATTTCCTAAGGGGAATGGTTACTTTAAAGGTATGTGTGAAGCCCTCTTCCATTTTACTCACTCACTCAGTGATATGTTATATCATTTGATATCATATCAGAGAGGATATCAAGTCAAGATACATCCCAATATTCCCTATGTTTTATTAGGGTCAGTCTGTTAATCTAGTGGTTAAAGTGTTTGATTGTCGAACAGAACACCCACTCACTCACTCACTCACTCACTCACTCACTCACTCACTCACTCACTCACTCACTCACTCACTCACTCACTCACTCCTCACTCACTCACTCACTCACTCACTCACTCACTTTGACATTTTAAGCTTCTTGTTATCGGTGAATGTGGCAGGTATGCCTTTTGGATATTTGTTCATGAAGTATATGTGTTGATAATGCTGCTGATGATGAGTGTGTTGATAATGATGATAATGATGCTATCGTGAAGCTCCAGTCTTTACATCGATCGCCTTAAGCAGGCAGAAGAATGTTTCTAATGTTTAAATCTTCATTGTACTGCATGAGGAAGACAGTTCAATGAGGCTCAATATGGCTGTCCTCCATGTCGAATTTCACAATCGTTTATTATTGTCCATGTTTAGTCAATATCAGTCTACCTGAAATTTAAGCGTGTATTATTATTTTCAGATCCAACATCCTCAATGACTCGCAAGACACAGCCGTCCCGGCATGAAGACAAGATGTCGCTGAAGCAGGAGCGTCCTGCACGAGCCACGCTACCAGTTGCCAGGAGCCAGTCGTTCGGCGGGATGTCTGTACGCTCCCAATCTTCCTCATCCTCGTCCACGTCTGTGCTGGGTGACACGATACGTCGTAGTCCCAGGCTGTATACACGGCCCCAGCAGACGAGCCGAGGATTAGGATTCAGTTTTCGTAAATCACCGAAAATCCCCAAAATTCCAAGGCCAAACAGAGCTCTCCTGATGTTTGAGAGCATGAAAAAGGGTATCAGGTAGGCCCTATGTTATTATTTATGAAGAGCACAGGTCTTTGCCCTCTATGTGACAGTGTTATTTGCCCTACCATCCCTAAGTTTGGGGGGCAATGGAAGTTAAACCATGTTAAGAGCAGTGATTTCACAACTTAAGAGAATCATTACAGCAACCTTGAACCTCCCAATGGGGATAGCGTATGAAATGTCGCAAGTTCCCCTCACGCAAACAGAAGAAAAAGATGTGGCATCCCGGTGACGAAAAAATTGCATTTTTGGAATTTAGAGACGAGGAATCAGTCCGTCTGTGCGTGCTTTGAAGTTTTTCAAAGCAGACCTGTTAATTTTGGAACAAGACAATCAAATGTTGTCTTTTTTAAGCCACAGTTTTAAGAAATGGCTGGTGACATATTTTCAGTCTCTCAAGCATTTTGTTGAAAATATCATAATGCACAATGTTGAATCATTTGAAATTATGTTTGTGAAAGAAACTCAAAAGTTTCCCTTGAAAGTGTCAAAAAGTTTGATTCAGCCCTGTTACAGAAAGATATCTGGCAAATTGGTCTTCTTTCTCCAGTACAGTCTATTTAACTAAATAATTGTAAAGTCGCAGTTAATAAACAGGACAGAATTTGATTTTCACAACAAAAATGAATGATATTGAAATATTCGGAAACAGTTTAAACAATCTATATCAAAATGTCGCTTTGACAATTTAGATTTCAAATCCTGGTTATGACTTAATTATTGATTCAGTTAGCGAAACCATCAGCAGAGGGGCGTTTCTAATCATTATCTATATATGGGCCTCAAGGTTTTACAGATATGTAAGTATTCATCCCAAATCACAGGTGTATATACTACAAGGAAGACAGGATATTTTCAGGGAGACTCCCTAAAGCCAGAGCTGGATTTAGTGCATGATTCATGATGTCCGCATTAGTGAGGCTAGTCGTGACCGCGGGCCTTCGAGGCTCACTAATCCCACACGTGACAGATTATATCTAGCTCTTGTAAAACCCCACTGATACCTCATTACTGAACTCTGTTGTTGACGGTCACTATTGTTTATTTGTTTGTGTGCTTCTATGACTTAGGAATTGTATTGTCATGCCGCAGTGACCGGCCTGGGAGTGGATTATGGAATCTGGGTTGGGTGTGGTTCTTGTAAATTGTAGTTTGTGAATAACTATGACTGGTCAACTGAAGTATTTGAAATTAGGTAATTATGTGTCATAGATAACAACTTTACATTTGTTGTTTTTCTTTAAAGTTTATCTCGGTGGTTTGTTCAGTTTTAGCTGACATTTGTATTGCTGTTAACTTTTGTAATACTCCAAGCTGTAATATCAGATAACATTTATTGTATCACAAATGGTGTTCCTCATTATCTTTTTGGGTTACAAGTTACTTCAGTTGGAAACAAATACACAGAACATTGCTTCACATCAAAGAAATATAGGAATGTTTAATAAACCGCTGACATTTGTATTGCTGTTAACTTTTGTAATACTCCAAGCTGTAATATCAGATAACATTTATTGTATCACAAATGGTGTTCCTCATTATCTTTTTGGGTTACAAGTTACTTCAGTTGGAAACAAACACACAAAACATTGCTACACATCAAAGAAATATAGGAATGTTTAATAAAATACTGATTCGTATCAGCGGGAGGTAATTGTGATATTCTTCAACACATATAAGTTAAAATGTTTTCAAAAGGCACTTACATACTTACATGAACCAACAACTACCAGTCTTCACTGAATAGATACCAAATGATATTTCAAGTTTTAGGATGGTGATTATTGTTACCTTGGCTGCACATACTTTACATAATGATATTGAATTAAGTGAATTAGGGGCGGTGGGGTAGCCTAGTGGTTAAAGCGTTGGCTCATCACGCCGAAGACCCGGGTTCGAATCCCCACATGGGTACAATGTGTGAAGCCCATTTCTGGTGTCTCCCGCCATGATGTTGCTGGAATATTGCTAAAAGTGGCGTAAAACCAAAACTCAGTCAGTCAGAATTAAGTGTAATATTAAGGTTTGGTCCTTTCGAAAGATCACAATTAAGAGACAAATACATTTCTGTTTGGTAAAAAATGTCTTTTTCTTGATCCAACTTCCTGTAAAAATTGCTCCTGCCCCTAATATTTTTCTATGTTAAAGATTCTACTTTGTGTGCACTCCATGCTGGAAATGTTGTGGTCAATATGGCTTCAGGGCCAACTCTTCAGGCTGACATGGCCTGAAAGGTCACATGACATGTAACCACTCAGGTCATAACCTTACTGGAATTGTAATTTACTGATGAATTGTAACGAAAGCCGACCTTCCTGACCAGTCAGTTAGTGCAGCATTTTTATTTTCTGTGTTTCTCATCGCCGGACCGACCCTTCTAATTTTATTGCCACCTCCCCAAACTTTTTTCATTCCAACACTGGCAACTCAAACCTAAAACGTTCCGCCTCATCATATAAAATGTTTATCTTTTAATCAGTCGCTGCCACAAGTCCAAAGAACGCGAAAAATTGTAATAAGAATTACAATAAATTATTAAGTGGGTTTTTTTCACGACAATTTTGTTTTCCGACTGCCCAATGTTCAGAATTAATGAAACACATTAAAAATTAATGATGCCCTTATGTGAAAAGTGTTGAAAAACAAGATTATTTTCTCGCTGACCCCATCTATTTATATCCCGAGATGAAAAAGTGGATATGTAAATATTAACAGGAGCTTCAAGATTGATATTATAGTGTCAACAGTGCAAGGCTTGTAAACAATGGCAGCATTTGCTGGGAGATCCAGGACCGGTTTCCTGTTAGGTAGAGGAAGGCTGTGGTATTGTTTAAGAGAAGATTTAGTGAATTTTTCTCCTTCAGACAAGATGAAGGAATGGTAAGAAGTGGATAGAACTAAATCTAGTAACAATATCTTGTGAAAAACGTGTTTGGTACACGCGAGGGCTTGCTTTGAAGCTTATTTTAAGTCAAACGGAACTGTTGCCATGTCTTGGGATCAGGTCTTGTCACATGGTACAAACAAGGACTAAACTGTATGTCCATGAAGATTGGATCAGTTTCATGTTTTTCTTTGATATTTGTGTTTACAGATGAATAATTACACCAGTGGGATTTGAAAATAGTGCATTGTTTCCTGTTTGACATTCTGAAATTCAGGGTCACGTTTTTCCCTCTCCGAAATCTTTTGTGTTATTTTTGCAAATATTCTACCTCCAGTACATCACTGCCATAAATTCTGTTCTTTGGCTTTCATCACACTGTAATATCGTCAGAAGTTCAGCAGACGCCCATTAACTATCTATTATAAGTTGTACAGGAAGTTGTCTCAAAATAGATTCAAATGTAAGGGTGATGGGTTAGCCTAGGGGTTAAGTGTCCGCTTGTCACGCTGAAGACCCGGGTTCGATTCCCAACGTTGGTACAATGTATGAAGCCTATTTTTGGTGTCCCCTGCCGTGATATTGCTGGAATATTGCTAAAAGCGGTGAAAAACCATACCCACTCAGTCACAATGTAAAGCACTGTTTCTGGTAACCAAGCCAACACAGGTATCTCTTCTTGACCTGAATTGATTGTCACACCTATAACTTGTCAAGAAGACCCCTCAAAATGTTATAATTATTTGTTAATGTTGTGATATTTATCACAGGTATGCTACCTGAATTACAAATGCTTTAATTGGGCTAACAAATCCCTCACATTGATCCAGTTTTGCAGCATCTGTTGATCACAGCACACTCTATCAACCACAAAGGGCTGCCAGACCCACGCTACATCAAGGCCTTCCTTACTTCAGGCATTCATTTCACATTAAGCTGACACAAATTAACTGAAATCTTTTTCCAAGTGGCATTAAACAAAACACACTCAGTGTCCATGTACAGGGCTCAGTGGTGTAGCTGGTATATGGCTGACAAAGGTAAAGAGATCCACTCCTCTTTCTAATGGTTACTCTACTTATGGAGACGCGTTTTAGGGTCTGAAAAAGACATTGTGAATACAAATGAAAAGTAGTGAACGCGTTGTGTCATTTGCAATTTTCTTTGTTAGCTTTGCAAGTGGATCTCATCAAGTTGATCCCAGGGCTTAATTTCTTTAAATCCCTGATGATGAGCTGTGAATCGCTTTGTTTGTTTCTCAATAGAAATAGCGAGGATCTTGATAGCCCCATTCTTCATCAAACATCAGATAGGTGTTGCCACGGCTCTGCAGTCTTCGCCAAGTCATGGCCGATGTGGAATGTCCACACAAACATGTACAGATAGGCTAACAAGGACTTGACACAGGGTGGTGACCAACTTCGTCAACATTGACCCTGGGACCTCTGACCCAGCAATGTCCCCACCCTCCCAAACTAAAAATCCCCTACAAAACCCCCAAACCTATTTAGTTTCTCCACATGGGTACAATGTGTGAAACCCATTTCTGGTGTCCCCCACAGTGATATTGCAGGAATATTGCTAAACGCAGCATAAAACTAAACTCCCTCACTCCCTATTTAGTTTCTGGCCTATTGGTTGCCCGAAAATGATGTGATTGTGCGTTCTGTTGATAGGGGGGCAGTCTGGAGGGGAACATGTGTATCAATCTAAAGGGCCCTTTCTACACCAATTCATGAATGTTCAGTAGAGTGGCATCTGAACTGTTGAATTGTACACAACAAGCCCAAATCATGCAATAGTCATTGTAATCTCGTTCATCCAATGGGGGGGTGAAGTAGCCTGGTGATTAAAGCATACACCCGTCATGCCAAAGACCCATGTTCGATTCCCCACATGGGTACAGTGTGTGAAGCCCATTTCTGGTGTCCCCGCTGTGATGTTGCTGGAATACATACATACATGCATTTAAATACTTGTACAGCACCAATATCCATAAACCACTCTAAGGTGCTTTGGCTCTAAGATGGTACTGATATCACATAGAGTTCAGATGCTTCAGTGAAGAGACAAGTCTTTAGATTTGATTTAAAAACAGCTAAATCTGGTTGTGTTCTGAGGTGAGATGGAATATTCTAAAAGTGGCGTAAAACCATACTCACAGGCTCATCCAACCCCTAACTCCCACCACCCTCTATACACACGCAAACACACAACCTTAGACTAACAACTAGTCTCTGGAATGAACATATTTTACTGAAAAAGGTTCATAGTAAAACAAAAATAAAATATAATGAAAAGGAGCCCTGAGACTTTCTTCATTTCAGAAGCTGAAGCTGAGGAAATCTAGACTTGCCACATTTTCTAGACTTGCGTCGGCTTTCTTGGATATATTTGCTTCAGGGTCTGTACGACAGACTAACACAACCTGTACAGACTCGAAAGACTGTGAATTTTTACTTTTGTTGTGAGGAAAGCAGGTTGATGTTACTATTTGGGGTCCTTACTGTATTCCCTTTGTTTGCAGGGAGTTCATCCGAGCTACCCAGGAGGATGTGATACAGCTGCAGGCTGGGGACTCCAACACATCCACGGCACAGGTGAGAAAACTGACCTTCAATGCAGAAGCTTGTGCACTTCTTTATGCATCTATATTGATGTACATATGTGTACACAACATGCAGTAATATGAATCTAAAGTAACCACATATTGCCCTTGCTTTATGAAAAATGACATGCTATGTAGACAGAGGTTTATACATGGTGGTCAATAAGGCAATTACCCGCCTGACTATTTTAGGGCACATGACATTGTGTTCATCATTTCTGTGACCAGTGTTATGCAAATGGCAAGCTATGAACTTCCAAACTTGAGTAAGAATAGAGGACATTTTCGTTCAGATATGTTACTCAACTTTTGCTTGGAATAGTCAGGATCTGTCTGTTCCGTTATGCAGTAAACTAATTATTATTACCAAATCAATAACTGGCCCAGAATGCCTCCTTGTCCTCATATTAATAGTTAACATTTTTAGTCAACGACACCAATGCATCTCACTGTATCACGTGCAGTGTGTACAAGTCACATGTCTCTTTCAGGCATATTCTCAGTCCCAGAGCATTTCTTTTGACATTCATCCAGCTTTAAGTGTTTCATCAACACAATCCTGTTCCGTGGCAACAGCTTAACTGAATGCATAGCAAAGAGGAAATGGTGAAGTCCATTCATGAACTGAAGGTTTTCTGGCGAACAAGAACCTGAATAAATCCATCAGCAGTGTGTGACATTAACAGATGCTTCACACCTTCAGGATAAATGTTTTTACTTTATTTGAAGATATGTTTTCCTATTCTAGCCAAAAGTTCATATATGTTTTTAGCTTCCTACTAAGATAAACAAACCAGCCATTTCCTGATTGGCTGGAGATGAGTTGCTAATCTGTCAGGTGACATGCGAAGACATCTTTCTTCAACGCCCTTCTGTAAAATCTCACACCTCTCTGTTTTGTCAAAAAATTCGCTTTTGTGTTTAAAGAGGCAGCAAAACGCCAGTGAGGAGTTTGACAGGTCGATTGTGAATGTAGTTCAGTTGGACATGGAGCAAACATGATATTATAGCGCTACTGGACTTGCATAGGAAGGCCAACAGGTTGTCTATTTGAAAAATGTCAGTAAAGCTTTTCGTCTCTCCTTGCTTGCTTGATCTAAAAACAAAACCCAATTTGGGGGTATTTTTAGGAATTTAGAAGCTCTTCCCCTCCTTGAAGTATTTCCTGAAAGTGTGATGGCTTTGTTTTCTGTCACACAGCCGTGTATTATGGTCAATATTTGGACATATATTGATTACGGGTGCATATCAACGTCTTGTTTAAGGCCAAGCTGTTGTCAGAAGTGGCAATAGACCGATATAAAACAACACAAAGTGAAGTATCATCTGTGAAATATGGTACCTATGTCAGTAAATAATACAGTAAAATAGGAACTGTCACGCATTAAACAAAATATTTATGAAGTTATAAAATACTTGGGTAGAACAGAATAACGTATTTAAGACATATACTTCTCCTGAAAAAACACCCCAATTAAATGCACATGAACAAACTTAAATATAATTCTTAAGCAAAGAAATATTACTTTTCTATGCAGGAAACCATTGAAGAATCAAAGGCAATAATAGGAAATAGTGTTTTTAAGGACATTCAACCCCAAATAATCGTATAAAAATGACAAAAAATGTGTTTTAACCATTTATAATGCTGACTTTAATGTGAAATTGTTGAGATCCTGTGGTTGATAGTGTTTGTGTATTTATGGTCCTGTAGATTAAAGCTGGTGTGGTATCTTCCTATTTTAGGGTAGGCTCCATGAAACAGACAAGGTAACTGTGGTTGAAGCATGTTGTAGTGATTCAGTGATTGTAGTGTCAGTGCATGTTTAGACAATACAGCCCGGCAGCAGACGCTGCTCCCTTGTACCAACAATCTCATTCAAATCAAATCTGTGACTCTTACGATACTCTGTGTCAAGATCTGAAGTCTCCTTCATTGAAGGTCATGTCGGATGAACATTCTACACAGAAAATCAGCACAAAGGCCTCAGAATTCTTGGTACAATCGACCAATGCTATCAAAGCATCATATCTCATTTCTGTATCTCAAAAACAAATTTAATATCCAATCATGTAATAATAATAGTCGCACCATTCTATAGTTGAGTTGTGAATATTTCATGCTCGTGTTTAATGCTCGTTCTGAGCAGGGGCGGCGGGGTAGCCTAATGGTTAAAGCGTTGGCTCGTCACGCCAAAGACCCGGTTTCGAATCCCCACATGGGTACAATGTGTGAAGCCCATTTCTGGTGTCCCCCGCCGTGATGTTGCTGGAATATTGCTAAAAGCGGCGTAAAACCAAAACTCAGTCAGTCAGTCGTTCTGAGCACCAAGACATCTGTACCCAAGCTTGAGTTCAATTGAAGGAATATTTGGTTTATGTGTTCTGTTAAAGTCAAAATTTCACAAATGAGGTTGTGAAGAAAAAAGCTGATTCGTTTTAGAAAGCTAACATTTGATTGGCTAATCCATTCTTTGTGTTGATTGGTGAAAGACTGGGGTTCACCTGAAGTGATTGCCCGTGGAGCTGGCCTAATATCTTCATGCGGAATGGTATTAAGTAAGAGTAAATGATCTGACTTTAATGAGATTGTCATATTTGCTGCTTTAAAATGATTATCAACGATGTGCTGTGTTGACCAAACATGCCTATTGATTCCAATCTTAACATTGTGTAACATTCTTTGATTTTTGTGCTCGTTTGAGGAAACTAATGTTGTTCTGCCAGGCACATGTTTTTAGCTTATGTGAACACGAGTTTGATTTCAGTTTATTTTTGAGTGTGTTGCACAAATTTTAAACTTTCTTAAGTTGGCAACGCTAAACAATTGATTCCTCTGCGTGCAGCCATTATCTTCCCTGTTCTGTCGACCTTGAGACAATGCATCATAACACTTCTCTGTATACCATGTTATAAAAATCATTATACACCTCATCTCCAGATTGTATAGTCTTATAACAGAGTTGTCATGTTGGTTGAAACTCTTTCTTACTAACAGGATCCTTCCTAACCTGAATATCTGATCTTCTATAAGAATAGGAAATGATCAGGGTAATGGTTTGGGTTATATATTTGGGTATAAAAAGTACACGTATCAGTTAAATGTCTTGTGTACCACTAATGTACCACCCTGTTCTCTCTCTGTACCTCACCATGTACCACCCTGTCTTTGAGTAACATTTGTTGATTGTATAAGTGACATGTTCAGAAAGGGAAGTTAAGCTCTTAAGTGTATCCCAATTGATCATGTTGTTGGATCACTGGATTGTCTGGTCCAGACTCAATTATTATAGACCGCCACCATGTAGCTGGAATATTGCTGAGTGCGGCATAAACAACAAACAAAGCAATGTTCAGACTGAGCCTTTGTCAACAACTGTTCTGAAAGTTCCGCTGATACATGATGCAGCTAATAAGTTGATCGGTTGCTCATGCTCAGCGATGTCGTTGTGTGTCATCACGCCGATGATGTGGATTGATAATCACTTGTCAATCACTGGATAGTCGGGTTCGGATGTCAGTACTGACAGGCCACCATCATATAGTTTAAATAGAGCTGAATGCAATGGTGAACACTGTTGGTCTCTATCTGTAAGTATTTGGGGGAAATAATGTGCATAGATGTTTGGTAGGGATTTTCAGGTTTGGGTGAAGATTTAATAATTGATTTAACTGATTAATTATAGAGTGATACTGAAGAATCCTGTCCGCCAATGCACTGGCAGTTAAAAAAAACAATCGTCAAAAAAAAGAAGAATTATTCTGTTTGTCTCAAACTGAATAATAGAAAGAAAGATTCATAACGGTGCCAAGATGTGAATAAAGAGAAGTAGCTCTCAAAGGACTTGCGCATAGTGCTTGAGATCATGCTAGTTTTTTATGGAAGCATGTAGACCCCCTAGAGCAGTTGGTTTGAAGGTAGTATAGCTGCATTGCTTGATTGCATACTGTGAAAGTTGATGTTGATATCAATATCTCAGTCACAAAATCACCGAGATATAGCAAATGCAACATTCAGAGAGAAAGCACCCATTCTTCTTTTGGCATCTGTAAGAGAGATGGCATTGGGGTAGACTAGTGGTTAAAGCATTCGCTCGTCACCCCGAAGGCCTGGGTTCGATTCCCCTCATGGGTACAATTTGTGAAGCCCATTTCTGTTGTCTGCTGTGATATTGCTGGAATATTGCTAAAAGCGGTGCAAAACAATACTCACTCACTCACTGTTAGGACAGATGGTAAGTTAACCTTTAACTAATCTAAAGCCAGTTGTTGAGACACTAGCATGTGGTGTTATTATGTCTGTGTATCATAGGTATACATCGTGTACAGACGATCCAGCAAACTCCACCTTGACTTTGATCAATTACATACTGTGTCTATATTCGTCTGGAAAATTATGAATAATTTTATGTTTTTAATTCCAGCAAATCAAAGCTGCTGAAAGATATTTGAAGAAACTGGAATTTCACTTGTCAAAGGTTGGTTGTTTTGATGTTTCTGTAATTCACAAAGTTACCCATACCTGATCAGTCTGGGAAGGGACATAACTCTTGTCTTTCCAAGAAGCTCTCTATCCATCATGTTCCTTGATTGAATATTTTATGTTGCCAACCATTATGTGTCCACGACATTAGGGTGGCACAGTGGGTAAAGCTTTCACTCATGCTGAAAGCCTAGGTTCAGTTCCCAACATAACCATGAAGAGATTTCATTCATTTCATTTTGGTTGTTCAACCATGATTTTAAAGAGAAATCTAAAAATGACAAAAAGCCAAAATTACATCTGACAATAAACAATAAACCTGGAGTCAACAGAAGTTCATATTGATCTGACCTTGAAGTTACATGGCATGAGTTTGTGTAAGATAAATCTAGATGAAGCCTAAATGAAGAGGGCTTCTGATATTTACATCCTCAGAAATAAAAATGACAGTTTATTTTATGGGAATACAAACTTGAACCTGTATTGTCAAAAATCAATTGAGTCTGTAACCTTAAACAGTGGAAAAATGCCAAGGTAAATTGATGGAAATTTTCACCCTGTAGATTTTAAAACAATGCCAGAACATGTGTGAGAATGTGGCTTACGTAGGCTAGGTGAGTGTTATGTACAGATTTATTGGGTGAGGAAGCACGGGTCCATGGCAGGACGTATGCCGTGAATGTGACTCATTCTTCTAGAATTGATTCCATCTGTGCATGGTTTCCATGTTTGTTACATAACTTGAAAATATTCTCGTTGGTCATGAATTTTTTAGTGGTGAGAACAATGCCAACTTATGTTTTGAGTACTGAATTTTATAAATAATTAAATATCCACACCCACATGTAAATATTAACAAATGTGTAAAACTTGTTTTCTGTAAATGTGTGTATAGAAATGTGATAAATTCTCTTCACATTCAGCGAAAAAGCTTACTTTTTCAGTTAAAAAGGTGATTTATGATATAAAACAAAACGAGTTTGAGGTTAGTTTAAGTTCACTGCAGTATTCCAGTGTATACTTACTGTCACTTGATCAACATGTACACTGATGTACACTGATACAATTAATAGCCATTGGGTAGTTATCAAGCATCAAATCCCCTGGAGAAAAAAGTGAATCAATTCTTGGAGTCTTGTCATTAAGGGTTTGAAAATACGTAGCTTGGAAACTGAAGTGCATCAACTACAAACTGACAAAATAGGATGGGATCGGGTGGTCTGGGTCGCTGACATCGTATCCCAATTGCGTAGATCGATGCTCATGCTGTTGATCACTGGATTGTCTGGTCCAGACTCGATTATTTACAGACCGCCGCCATATAGCGGGATTATTGCTAAGTGTGGAGTAAAAGTGAACTCACTCAATCACTCACAAAATAGGTATAATGGTAACTTTTCTGACCTGATATTTTCAGATTGATGAGCTCCATGAGTGCTACCTGGTTCATCAGCAACTGCGAGAAGGTAGGGAAAAGTGTACCTCCATCTTCAGTAAATTGTCAGTGTTATGGTAACATGAGGCAGAGTTCCTTGAACATCTACTATCACATCACCTAGTATGCATCATAATCTCTAGTATGTATCAACACCTTTGACTGAATGTTTGAATTAATTATTTTTGATAATTATCTCAGATAAATAAGAGAATGTTTGTTTGATCTGTAGGGGCGGACAATGGCAAGAGCATACACAACGTCGCCTGGCAACCGAAAGCAGTCCCTCACTAATGTGAAATACGGGTATAAGGAGTGTTCACAGGTAACAGACTGTAGGAAGCTCTCATATAACATCAGTCCCTCACTAATGTGAAATACGGGTATAAGGAGTGTTCACAGGTAACAGACTGTAGGAAGCTCTCATATAACATCAGTCCCTCACTAATGTGAAATACGGGTATAAGGAGTGTTCACAGGTAACAGACTGTAGGAAGCTCTCATATAACGTCAGTCCCTCACTAATGTGAAATACGGGTATAAGGAGTGTTCACAGGTAACAGACTAGGAAGCTCTCATATAACGTCAGTCCCTCACTAATGTGAAATACGGGTATAAGGAGTGTTCACAGGTAACAGACTGTAGGAAGCTCTCATATAACATCAGTCCCTCACTAATGTGAAATTCGGGTATAAGGAGTGTTCACAGGTAACAGACTAGGAAGCTCTCATATAACATCAGTCCCTCACTAATGTGAAATACGGGTATAAGGAGTGTTCACAGGTAACAGACTGTAGGAAGCTCTCATATAACATCAGTCCCTCACTAATGTGAAATACGGGTATAAGGAGTGTTCACAGGTAACAGACTGTAGGAAGCTCTCATATAACATCAGTCCCTCACTAATGTGAAATACGGGTATAAGGAACAGACTGTAGGAAGCTCATATAACATCAGTTCACAGGTAACAGACTAGGAAGCTCTCATATAACATCAGTCCCTCACTAATGTGAAATACGGGTATAAGGAGTGTTCACAGGTAACAGACTAGGAAGCTCTCATATAACATCAGTCCCTCACTAATGTGAAATACGGGTATAAGGAGTGTTCACAGGTAACAGACTGTAGGAAGCTCTCATATAACATCAGTCCCTCACTAATGTGAAATACGGGTATAAGGAGTGTTCACAGGTAACAGACTGTAGGAAGCTCTCATATAACATCAGTCCCTCACTAATGTGAAATACGGGTATAAGGAGTGTTCACAGGTAACAGACTGTAGGAAGCTCTCATATAACATCAGTCCCTCACTAATGTGAAATACGGGTATAAGGAGTGTTCACAGGTAACAGACTAGGAAGCTCTCATATAACATCAGTCCCTCACTAATGTGAAATACGGGTATAAGGAGTGTTCACAGGTAACAGACTAGGAAGCTCTCATATAACATCAGTCCCTCACTAATGTGAAATACGGGTATAAGGAGTGTTCACAGGTAACAGATTAGGAAGCTCTCATATAACATCAGTCCCTCACTAATGTGAAATACTAGGTCCTCCATAAGGAGTGTTCAAAAGGTTATAATCATTATATATATGGGTTTGCTAGAATTGACTGACATGAGGATCTATCACTAGATATTTTTTTAACCCGTCCTCCACAGGAAGCTCTCGTTGGGATAACATCATATTAATAAGGACATGAAAGATATAGTTTATCTATGTTATGTCCATTTTAAAGTTAGCTGTTTTTAAACTTTTTCATACATCATAAACTTTCAACAACAAAACTTTTATGATGACTTTAGTTATAACTTTCATCTTGACAAAATAAGTGAATTATATTTGGCCATGCACTAACACAGATTCACAGTGAGGGGGTTCCCCTCATCAGTTGGTCATTTCAACGAAAATACTACCAACACAGATAGTTTCATTAATTGGTTGACCATGTTCTTGTTATGTGCACCTATCCTTGTCCGTGCATTTTCGGATATACATGTTGGTAATTTTCCTGTTTTAAGCAACCCATCATTCAGTATAAAGTTGATTTGAGTGTAGAAATGAAGCTAACCTGACTCCTTTCGTTCACAGACATTATGTGCAATAGAAGCCCAGTTGGAAAACATGCTCGGGACGTTCCACTGTAAACTGAAGGGTAAGATTTCCGTATTTTTAATTACAATATCACTTCTTAACTGATAAAGGTGACCTGTTAGATCACAGGATGTTAACTAGATTTTCACCACTGCTTGTACAAATTACTTAATATCTGACTCGCATACTGTGTCTCCATACATTCAAACAATGTACATGGGTGTGTCACCATCTCTCTTTACTTCATGAATAAGGGTGGTGGAGTAGCCTTGTGGTTAAAGTGTTCGCTCATCATGCCGAAGGCCTGGGTTCTATTCCCCACATGGGTACAATGTGTGAAGCCCCAACTCGTACACTCACTGACTGTTTTAAGGGCCCTGCTGTGTGTTACAGGTATGGCAGGGTTTGCTCGACTCTGTCCTGGTGATGTATTCGAGGTTTCCATCCGCCATGGGCCACAGAAATGGAAGACAAAAGGCCGCATCGAGAAGAACAACACACAGAAGTGGGATCAGCCTGAGTTCATGTTTAAAGCTTTGGTAGGAGAAGTCCTCAGTCTAAAGGTATGATCATCTGGACATTGAGATAGGGCCCAACTGAGGGACAGTCTATGAGAGCTTTTAGAGGGGTGCAAGGCAGTTTTTGAAAAAATCCTTTCTTAAGGAAACTGGGGCGGTGGGGTAGCCTAGTGGTTAAAGCGTTGGCTCGTCACCCCGAAGACCCGGGTTCAAATCCCACATGGGTACAATATGTGAAGCCCATTTCTGGTGTCCCCAGCCGTGATATTGCTTGAATATTGCTAAAAGTGGCGTAAAACCATACTCACTCACTCACTCACTCCTAAGGAAACTAATTGTTTGATCGGCATTCTAGAAGTTGGTGAGTCAACAAAGGAAACATACAACTTTATGGATGACAACTTCTGTTTTTTTTGCGTTGAGCGACGTTTCGATGTAGATTCTTACATCGTTATCAAGCTAAAAGTCACTTTTAGGTTGATAACGATGTAAGAATAGCATTGATAACGATGTAAGAATCTACATCGAAACAGAAATCGCTCAACGCAAAACAGTATGTGTCATCCATAAAGTTGTATGTTTCCTTTGTTAAGGAAACTATTTTGGAAAAAAATGGCCAAAATAGGAATCGCACGATTGCTTCATGCAGATGATTTTTGTCTGAAAGCCACAAATTATTAAGCTGATTATTGTTCTGGAAGTTACGTCAAATATATGTACATTTATATGCAAAATATCTAAGAATTGTTCAAGATTGTGAAGAGGTCCTCTAATCTTGTCATATAAGAATGTATCGACGGAATACTTACTTGTGAGAATGTGAAAGTGTCTTTGTACTACTTTTAATTTGCAACTAATTCATAACTATGTAAAATGTCATAAACAAAACAAAGGAGGCATTTCAAGGGAGACAACTCTCAAGTAAACCAATCTCCAGTAAAATCTAAATAAACTTGTAGCAGGCTTTCTTTCAATCTTGTTCACATAATGACCTTATTCTGAAGATGTGTGGTAAAATTTAATCTGGTATTATGAAACATTTTGATCCTTGAAATATAGCATTGATTTAAACCGTCTGTTTTTATTTTGTAAAAAAGTTGCGCTTAACTGTGAAAATGGAGAAAAAAAATCACAGCAGTTGCATAAAATTTGATGATTTTATTACCAGTGTATATTGCAGTAACAAATTAGACGTTTTTAGGTCAGATATAAATTTGTTCATGTTTATTTTTTTGCTCTCTATGTATTTTTTGGGCATTATATGTTATTACTGTTTTAGCCTTACATTACCAGAGAAGTTTGGTATTGCATTACTGAAGTAGGTCTGTGTTTGATGAGTTCTTCTTGATTCAGGCAGTGGAGGTGCGCAGCTTTAAAAGTGTCCTGCTGGGGCAGAAGAACTGTGAGATCAAGGATCTGTTTTCTGCCAACCCCCAACTCATGACAGTCAGCATCAACTTCAATGGCTCTCTCAAACTCAGCATCGTAATCACATGGAAGTATGTGCTCTTGTAAATCACTACAATATAATTAGGGGCGGTGGGTTAGCGTTTGCTCGTCACACTGAAGACACGGGGTTGATTCCTAACATGGGTACAATGTGTGAAGCCCATTTCTGGTGTCCCCCGCTGTGATATTGCTGGAATATTGCTAAAAGCAGCAAAAAACTCACTCACTACAACACAATTAATTTCAAACAAATATCAAGTTTTAACATCTGTACATATTGTGCTTTGTATCATTTTAAACACAAAGTGACATTAGAGCTAGGTCTATAGTACATATATTTATAGTTATAACAATAACCCTGGTGCTGAGATCATTATGTTGGAGCGGAGACTGGTTTACACCTTTTCTCTGGGGTCCTTTCCACAAAGTGATTTTGATCAAAACTCTCATACATTATCATAGACTTACATTTGCTGTTGAGCTACAATGGATATGTGGACCAATTAACTAGTCTTGACTCAGCTGTAGACTGTTGCAGTTTGTTCATTCTTCTGTTGTTATTGTAGCCCTCTTGATGGCATGGATGAAACTGTGACGTTCTTCGAGGCCCCAAGTCGACCCCAGGGAACTCCCCGAAGGCGACCTGTGTCGGTTCTAGCACTCAATGGCCAGCTGGTAAGTTAAGGATCATCTGTTTTTTTAAATTATGTTTAAATGTCTGTTAGAAAGCCATGAAGGTACAGAAGGGCTGTCCTGGAAGACAAAATATCACGAGAAGCAATGTGAAGTCCATTGAGGGAAAGTGTAACCCAAATGAGACCTACATAGGAATTCTGAAGTGGGGTGGGTCAGAATAAAATAATGTCCACAGTAGCCAGTGGTTATTGAAGTAATGATACGACCCAGGGCCCACAAAGCGATTGTAGAGCTACGGCAGTCATAGCTATGGGAGTAACAACCATCTTGGCCCTACAATCACTTAGTGAAATGGGCCAAATTAGGGATGTTGTGGTGATTATGCTGTGTGGCTTAACTGACTGTGAGGCATGTTACCCTGAAGACTGACAATCATTCATACTGTCAGCCACTGTCACTCACATGTAAATAACACTAATTTCCTTGTCTTCGTAAATAAAATAGTTTTACATGTTCATGCTAGTTTTAGACTCCATCTGTGATATTCTAGTTATTTTACAGTTCTTCGATGACTGATTATTTAGCAACTTAACTTTATTGTTTATGTAAAACATTTCTCGTCACTATATGGCTGAAATATTGCCGAAGTGACGCTAAAGTTTAACTCACTCACTCACTCACTCACTACTTTCCTCCACTTCAGTCTGGTAGTTATGGCTACCTGCCAACCGGTCCGGAACGGCGCTACTCCAGCCCTCTTCATGTCCATCACTCCAAGGACGACTACTACATGTTTGGCTCCTCTACCTCCCTGCCTACCCGGGCTTTCGAGTCCCACTCGTACCAGGCGTCGCCTCTTCTCCGCAGCAAGGACAACACCGTGTTTGTGAGCAGCCACACTCAGGGATCACGACTATCACAGACAGTATTATCTAGTGCCCTGCCAGTGCAGCCTCTCCCTCAGACGCTTCTGCCCGGTGTTCTTTCGCAGACTGTTATGACCAATCGGGATGAACCCACTAGTATTGAGGAGGGGCTAAATGTGCTGACGACCTCGTTAGAGGATTTCCTCGGACAATATAATGAGCTGCAGAAGCTGGAAGAGGTGGTGGTATTCCTGGAGCAGTTCATCAGAGTGAGTTGAAGCCATTTTGTTGAGTTTGAGTTTTAGGATCAGTTGGTGTCGCCTCCTGCTCCTGCTAATATTTGACCTCTGCAATCTTCTAAATCCTCAAAATTATAAAAAATGAAATTTGAAAAAGCACTTTCTCATATTGTCACAGATTTTTCCCGCAGTGCTTGGGAAGGGAACTAAGTCTTTAATCCCAGATAAGTCCATGCTCAAGGGTTTGGATGACTTACATTCAACTGTCTGCATCTCATTTACTCCGTTTTCACCCCATTACATTTGCTACCTTCTTGCTTCTGCAAAACTAATCGGAAAACTTGACAGATAATAGCTGCAAGTATTGGAAAAGACTGAGAATAGAGCAGTATATTCTCTCACCTTGCATTTATTGCTTTATAGGCAGTGGTGTAAATAATCACACTACCTTCCTGTTGTCATGGTACCATTGGTAACCAAAATTCTACTTTCAAAATGGAAAGTGCTTATTTCAGGCTGGTCAGAGGTTTCAAAATGATGTAACCACCCTTGAGTAAATATTGTGTGTTCAGTTCCAAGTTAAAACCTGTGAAGGTCCGGGTTAGAATGAGCCTTCAGTAACCCATGCTTGTCGTAAGAGGGGACTAACGGGACCAGGTGGTCAGACTCGCTGGCTTGGTTGACACATGTCATCAGTTCCCAATTGCGCAGATCGATGCTCATGCTGCTGATCACTGGTTTTCTGGTACAGACTCGATTATTTACAGACCGCCGCCATATAGCTGGAATATTGCTGAGTGCGGCGTAAGACTAAACTCAGTCACTCACTCCAAGTGTCAGATAACTTTGGCTTTTAAAATGGTATGTGTCCTGATGCAGATATCTTGGTAGGTAATTAATCATAACAGTATCACCTGAATTAAACTGTGACATAAACACTGTGCATCATGTTCCAGAAACAGTCGCCACGCAGCTCTCGTTCTTCCAGCATCAGTGTTTCCATAGAGAGCGCGCTTGAAGCTTTCGACTTCCTCAACACAGAGGATACGACAGACGATGCCACAGATGACCTTGACCCTAGTCCTGAGTAAGTATTAATAATCATCACCTGAAATAATACTGATGCAATTTCACAACATTTGCACACTGAGAATTATTTTGACATATGCAAATACTAATGAAATTGTTTTGTTTTTAGTGATATATTAGAAAAACGTTTTAGGAAATAAGATCACCATCCTGTTACTAGATTTAAGACAACATCTACTGGCAACATCTAAGTAGGATTTAGATACCATTTTATAAGTTAGAACGTCCCCACATTTAATTGAATTTCTACAACAAAATGACCCATGAAGATCTGGGTTAGAATTTATCTCATCAGTAAGCCATGCTTGTCATAAGAGGCAACTAAAGGGATCGGGTGGCCAGGCTCGCTAAACTTGGTTGACATACATGTCATCGTATCCCAATTGCACAGATCGATGCTCATGCTATTGATCACTATAAATGTCTGCTCCAGACTCAGTTATTTACAAACCACCGCCATATAGCTGGAATATTGCTCAGTGCAGTGAAAACTCAACTTACTCCCTCACTCAGTAGTAGTTATTGTGCAAACTTAACAGGAAAAAGGAAGCCTTCAGTTTTTTCTTCTGGCTTGTCATTGACCCCTGCATGCATCATGAACACCCCACAGAACAAGTCATTTTCCTTGCAGAGTGAGCCGGACATCCAGCATTGATCAAATTCTTGCCAGCCCAGAGTCCACTGCCAAGACTGCAGACTCCGAATCGAATCCCTCGCCAAGCGGCTCAGCGAGGACACTCAACTGGGCTCTAGTCTGGGTTCGAGCCCCATCCCCCCTTCCACAGGGAACGAACAAGTTGACCAGGCCCTCCTCTTTCATCTTGGATACTGTGATAGACTTCTGGAGGTGAGATAATGGGGCTGCTTCCGTCATTTGACAATTATTCTAGAGAAATGGGAACGTCGAATAAGTGCTAATCAATCTGATTGGTTTCTAAATGTTTAATGAAATGCAAAATCTGGAAATGTTTCGGAATAATTACTTTACGAATGTTTTCTCTAAGTATCCTTAGTAAAAGTATGTAATAAATGCAGAAATCTAGTTCAATCTAGTTCAATCTAGTTCAATCTAGCAACAACTGGTTTCAATTGTCCACTGTACAGAGAGTCTAGGCACAGAGGATCCTAGAATCCAAAACAAGTTTTGTGACCTGTTTAATGTATCTGTATGGGGCAATTACTCAGTGATCTTGTAAGTTTGCCTGACTGTGTGGATTGTTGCAAACAGATATAGCTGGAATATAGCTGTGGCATGGATCAACATGGTATTTTGATTGACTTGGACAAGAGCTGGGCATAGAGATGCTACCAGTGACAGTACTTACATCTTTGTGCTGGTTTTAGTGTTATATGGGTGTTAATAATATCGGAATTTTCCAGAGTTTGGGCAACTTTGGTCCTCTGAGGTGTCGAGAGTTCTACGCACTGGATAAACTCCAGAAGCAAGCCTTCATCATTGAAAGTTTGATGAAGATTGCCAAACAAGGCCCTGATGTGGATCTGCATTCTGGTATGTTGAATTGCCTGTAAAACAAGCATCATTTGAGGATATCTCATATGTGTGGTTCTCCTTTTATGTTTTAATTATATATTTTATATATTTTATGCACATTGTCTAGTGTGTCTCAATGGCCATCTGGCCTGGTGTTTGTATCTTCTATGTTCTTTTACCGCTGTCATTTTAATCGATATGTACATTCACGTGACACAAAAATAAACTATTTTGTCTGTCTTTTGTCTGATAGGGAGTAAGGTTCGTTCTTGAGATAACATATTGTACATAGCAAATAGATTGAACATATCACTGGTTTAATGTTACATTGATGTTACAGTCAGTAACAAGTTCACTAAAGCCCTTGGCCCCTTTTCACAAAGTGAGCACTAAGGTGATCGTAACTCCCATACTTTAATATAGACTTACGACTGTCGTAGTGCTAAGATGTTCGTATCTCCCATACTTTAACATAGACTTACGACTGTCGTAGTGCTAAGGTGATCGTAACTCCCATACTTTAACATAGACTTACGACTGTCGTAGTGCTAAGATGGTCGTCACTCCCATACTTTAACATAGACTTCCGACTGTTGTAGTGCTAAGATGATTGTAACTCCCATACTTTAACATAGACTTCCGACTGTTGTAGCTCTAAGATGATTGTAACTCCCATACTTTAACATAGACTTACGACGGTCGTGGCACTAAGATGATCGTAACTCCCATACTTTAACATAGACTTACGACTGTCGTAGTGCTAAGATGATTGTAACTCCCATTCTTTAACATAGACTTACGACAGTTGTAGCACTAATGTGATCGTGACTTCTACGACAGTTGTAGCTTAAGGTGATCGTAACTCCCATACTTTAATATAGACTTACGACAGTTGTAGCGCTAAGGTGATCGTAACTCCCATACTTTAATATAGACTTACGACAGTTGTAGCACTAAGGTGATCGTAACTCCCATTGTTTAACATAGACTTACGACAGTCTTAGCACTACAATCTCTTTGTGAAACGGGACCCTTTCCATCTAGTCAAGAAATAAACAACAGTGACTTAAGATTCAAAAGATTATACATAATTTGGAGTATCAACTGTCCATGCTTCAGGAATAAATGCAAACAACCAGAATTTCTAAAGAGAAATCTGACTTAATGTTTGTCAGGTTTAGTGACTTGGCTGACTTCTGGTGTAGATTGTTTCAAATACTGCCAATCACTGGATTGTCTGGCCCTGACTGAAGTATTTCCAGGCTTCCCTCAAATAGTTGAAATAATCGAGTGCATGATTAGAGAAACAATAACAAACTGCTAATATCATACTGTATTTCTCCAGTGATGTCGGAACTGACTGACGACAAGGCATTAAAGGAGTTCTGGGTTCTATGTGTGGACCAGAACGTGCTGTACGTCCACCCAGAGAAGCTGTCCTACACCATGGAGCAGAGGTTTGGCCTCAATATCAAGGAGACCTTTGATGTTTCCCCTGCAAGAGGTATGTTGCTCATTGACCCATTGAAGATCCGGGTTAGAATTGATCTTCAGCAACCCATGCTTGTCATAAGAGGGAACTAATGGTATTGGGTTGTCAGGCTCCCAGACACATGTCATCATGTTCCAACTGCGTAGATCGATGGTCATGATGTTGATCACTGGCTTGTCTGGTCCAGACGCAATTATTTACAGACTGCCGCCATATAGCTGGAATATTGCTGAGTGCGGTACTGGGGGTATTGGTAAAGGTGAAACATTATGTGAACGAAGCCATACATATTCAGCTTCTGAAAATGAATTAATGCAGGAAAAACATGTTTGCCGAGGTATTATGCAACCTTCCGCTTTTTGTAATGGAAATCTAGATTTTCTTTCACTCAACTGCTAATTCTGCCATTTAGGGGACGTGGGGAAGGGCAGTGGGAAGGGGCTGCTGAAGACCTGATTGATTCCATTCATGGTAACACTTTGTGAAGCCAGGAATGATGTCTTGTGACTTATTTAGTTTTATCACACTGCAGCTTTTTCCGTTAAGATTACTTAAGGGTGGTGGTGTTAGGTCAGAGGTTGAAGCGTTTGCTAGTCCTGCTGAAGACATGGGATTGATTCTGTTTCTTTTGTCAAGCCGATTATAATGCTGTAGTATGTCTTAAAAAATCAGCATAAACAGTACTCACACACTTTATCTCACATAGTTTTTCTTTTTGGATGCTATTCCTTCAAATGGATGTTGAAAGGGTAGTTATAAATGATATCTGTGTTTCCAGTGTTTGCCTACATCATGGCGAAGGTGCTGGACCTGCCGTCGTACGACCCCGACAAGCTGCGTCCGTCCTTGGTTGTCACCCTGCAACAGTTTGTTAGCTTCTTCAAGAAGGATGGTCTGGCTGTCATCGACTCCATCGCTCAGGAGAGTGAGTATCCCCTTAATCTTGTGTTTTGACAAGATGTCGAAAATTAAACAAGAATGACAAAAATAATGAGATACTCTAGGTAACTGATGGATGACCTGGATTCGTTTCCCCATTTGAGTACAATGTGTTAAGCAGTGTATGAAATAAGGCCAGATTTCTGACGGACGGTCTAAATATACAGCTAGCCAGCCCGACGGTCTGGTGCAAATATTAGATGTTCCATACATCTGAGTTAATTCTTGGTGTCTGGTCTGGTTAAATCCATTTTGGGCTGGTAACATTTTGAAGTTACCAGCCCTGATGTCTGGCTGGGTTTTTGGCTTATTTCATACACTGGTGTTAAGCCCATTTCTGGTATCACCCACCAAGATATTGCATAAGTACAGCATAAAACCCAACACACTCACTCACAAGATGATCAGGGACTTAATTACAGTACTTTGTCATACAACAAGATTTTCTCAACATGTTTTCAAAACATTGTATCATTGTTACATTGGAAGAGGTTTCCACGGTTGGATATTGGTGTCAGCATTTATTCAAGTCAGATAACCCACATAATCTGGGAAATCGGAGTATTGTTCCTGGGACGAGCGTGCATCATGACCCATGTTTTTTGTGTTCACAGTCAGCCTGATGGATCGGTTGTGTTCAGGAAACACAGACATGGTCATCAAAGCTGTGTTGACCTTGAAGGAGGACATTCCTTCCCCAACTTGTCTGAAGGTCGTTGGAACACTACTGATTGCAAATAATAGAGAGGTCAACCAGACAGCGAGTAAGTCAGTCTTTTTGAATCCCAACTGTAGGGTTTTACTGTATTTAAACCCTTGCAAGCTTATGCCCATGAGCCTATAAGCAGGATCTTTTCTCATGTTAGGCCCATGCCAAAGCAAATATCTTTTGTTTTATTGTTAGGAGTTATGTCCCTTGGTGAAAGCACATTATTTGTGTCTTATGTACAACATTCATAGTGCTATCAGATGATTCCATGTGTACAGGCTTCACTGGATCAATATACTACTGAAATACTGCACCGTTGAACCAAATTCTCTCACTCTGCTCATTGTCAGGCTGACACTTTGATTTCCAAATATAATATACAGTAGAAGCTGTGTAAACCGACACACAACTGGACTGAAGAAACAATCCGCTTTAGACAGCGAACAGATTGTAGAGCTGACACGGTTACCTACTACTAGAACTAAACCAGTTTTAACAATCTCATATACATAGTTGTATAAGGTGGTTCTCTCAATTTCTCTCTCAACTCACTAATTACATGTACAAGTATACCCATATTGAACTAAGATTAAATTATCTTTGTTGGCAAGCATGTAGTTTCAACGCAGGATTAATTGGTGACAAAACATATGTCCGACTCCTCGCCACGTAACGGATTAGACAGCTCTGATTACTGTATAAACACATATTCGGGCGGCTCATTGCATTCCGAGATCCGAAATTGACAGCTGCCTGATTGCAGAGCTTTTATATGATGATAAATGTACTAGCCATGGATGGGACTGAGATTTTATGCTGGTCTTGACAGCTTCCACTGTAATATGGTTTTGTAACAAATGATTGCAGAGCTAAAAACAAACTAGGATTAGAAAATTAGGATAAGATTGACATAATGTCTTCACTTTCTGTGCTTGCATTTTGCTGATATGTTCGTTTATTATCAACATTGTGATTATATCATATGCATGATCTCAATGAGTTAAGTTGTATATAATGTTGTACATGTCCCTGTTTCTTGCAGCAACCTATCTGAAGGCTGTTGGACGAAACAAAGAAGTTCGAGATAAGGTGAGTTATTATATAATCATGAGGAAGGATGACGTCAGCCTTTATTGTTGTAAAATACGCCGCTAAACCTTTGTTTACAGTCCGTTTGACTTCAGATCGATGAATTGCTCACTAACACAAAATCTAATACATGCAACAAAAATCAAACTTTGCACAGTCATATGAAATCGACAAACCAACTCTGATGATTTGTCCATAATTTTGGACACCTAATAAAAAAGTTGTTTAATAAACGATCATTATTTTGTTGTCACTTTTGCTATTTCTTTTAGGGGACTACTTTCAGCTTAGCAGAACAGCCAGGTGTGCGCAGGTGAACGCAGTGAAATTGAAATTTCACTGCACACGCTTGTTCATTACCTGGCTGTTCTACCAGCAAGTGGTCGATTTCATGTGACTGTGCAAGGTTTGATTTTGTTGCACTTATTAGATTTTGTTAGTGAGCAATTCATCGGTCTCAAATGAAGTCAAACGGACTATAACAGTTTTGACTTTCCATGGCAGAGAGTAAATGAAGCTGCTGTAAAATACCAACACAATGTCCTACTGATCTGAACAGCTTGCTCCGGCTTGCTGCATCATGATTACAGCAGCTCCAGATAAACTGTTTCTGTTTAGAATTTGTAAAGTAACTATAACTCAGTTAATGATGAGTTACCTCACATATACACCTGAAATGATTTGTTTTAAAAATGGGAGCACAAAAATGTTACTCTCTGTAGAACATTAGCAGTTAACATGCAATCCACATCTGTAGATATAGTCAGCAGGAACCAAGTGATGTCCTTTCCTCAACTGTCGGGGCGGTGGGGTAGCCTAGTGGTTAAAGCGTCCACTCATCACACCTTAGACCTGGGTTCGATTCCCCGCGTGGGTACAATGTGTAAAGCCCATTTCTGGTATCCCACACCACGCTTTTCTGTTAGCTATATAAAGCACATAAACTGTCAGCAGATGGTCTGAGAAGTGTGAATGTTTGACATTTGGGTCTGGTTGTTTCAGGCAATGGTGATTTTCGTAGAGGGTCTGGAGGATCAGATCCCTGATGTCCGAGGAGGATCTTGCTATGCACTATCAGTTCTGGAGGTAAGGACATGTCCAGATCATGCTGCACACCTAACATGTTGTGGTGGGATCCTTAATTAGAATCGGTCTCCACCCTTGTCTTACAGGGCCACTGAATAGATCAGGTGGTCAGCACTTGCCAACCTGGTGGCTTAGGATATTTCTCAGATCAAACACTGATTCACTTGCAAAGCATGTCATTTTATTTGAATGATGCTTAGTGTCGCATACAAGCAGCACAACATTATGTGGCATTACTCCACGCCACGACATCCAGCTGGAGATCCAGTATGGAAGCATATTAGAGCCAGATTATTTTCAAAAATCACTTCATCAATGTAAGGAAGAGTGTTTCATATTAAATCCCAATTATGAAAAATGAAGAAATAGGTTTAGAAGTCTGAAGAAAACGAATTTTCATAAATCTGTCAATTACTGTTATTTACTTACTTTTAGTGATAAAAAGCCAGTCCCTTGTAGAAATGTCCCGATTTCAAGTGTAAATGTGGAAGCAGACGATTTTACCTTCGATACGATAGTACGCTATTGCAGCTGCGCAGAATTACCGGACGTGTGGAATCTCTGGACTCGCTTGTAATTCTGCAGTATCACTATACATGATGTAAACACTCACTGACATTTCATGACCACCATCCAGCTGACACCTCTGTACTCTGTACATTGTAGGCGGTGGAGAGTATAGACCAGCTGGTGTTTGTGTGCCAGGCGGATGCCGCCTCCACAGTTCGGAGAAAGGCCAAGGATGCACTCTTCTCAATGGGTAAGTTTTCCTCTCAAGCAATACAGAAGTTGTCTATCCATAAAAAAGTGTTCCTCTTCATCATATCAGCTTCTATATGCCACTCAAAGAAGTTCCTCTCAAGCATCAGAAATACCATTTCCCAATGGTTTTGCTTCTATCAAAGTAAAGAAAGTCCATGTCTTCTCTTGATTGATCTCTGCGGATAACTTGTTTGTCTACTTCAAGTTCTCCGGTAATATTTGGGGATTCATCTAGATAGATTTAATAGTCTGGGCCCCGTTTCACAAAGCTCTTGTAAGCCTAAGATCTTGGAACTTTCCTTGTAGCATTCCTACCTCCTATACTGTAATGTTGACTTACGATGGTCGTAGCGCTACGAGAGCTTTGTGAAACGGGGCCCTGATTAGTGAGGATGTATAGGGACACTCCTTAAAGTCAGCAGATTCTGGTAGCCCTCTGGACACCATTATATGACTGATTTGGGCTAATGCCAATTTGAATATGGTCTTTTGGTTGTTTACGCTACTTTCAAAGTATATAATTCTGAATACTTGACTTTTGTTCCAGGTGATGAGGGAAGACGAGCGTTTGAGGAAGCCCAGCTGTCTTCCCACGGCTTCCAGGGACTTCAGATGAAGAAGTGAACCGTCACCCGTGTGGTGTCACCATCTGTGCAATGTCGAAGATGGGAAATCTCCTGCCAATTCTCACCCCAAAGAGAGTTAACTTTCGAAGAGACAATCCTGACAAGGATTTGAAGTCATTTTCATTCTTTGTACATTTTGTTACCAAGGAGATGAGATTATGCAAGTGTGTCCGACCATGGTGAATACGGATTCAGCGTGTTGGGAAGAAAGTATTCCATTGGTCTGTGTGTGACATTGTCTGTATGTCCAGCTGTGCCATGATAATGTGTAACGCTATCAGCATCTACATCATACACCACAAAGTCCTAGTTGGGATTGTACTAACATATAGTACAGCTACACCACAGGGGCTGTTCAGGAATCAGTGTTGCCCCAGAACCTGGAACTGTGATCTTGAGAACACAACAGAATGGAAGCTTCTGGCATGATACGAGGAAGAGACCCCGATGCAATGACACTGTTTGATGTGTAACGATATCATAGCATGCTAGAATTCTGTCGCAGTGTAGTTGCATCATATTTCTATGAGAAGACTTTGCTAGTCGTTGCCAAAAGATCCATATGTGCATCTGTTTTCCACCTGTGATCATAGATCGTGTCATTGCAGTTAGAACCATATTGATTGTCAGATATCCTTACAGGGCATTGTATTGACTGATATCACTTCATTATGTAGGTTATGACTTTGATGTAGGATATCAGTGTTTGATATAGGAGTTATCACACAGTATGGTAATGAAGACTGGAAGTGATGCTCTATGTATTATAAGAATGGTCAGGTTATATTGCAACCACATTTTTGTTGCTAATATTAGTTTTAATTGAGTTTTCACTGCAGTATCAGTATGTTAATGTGATGTGATGATTTCAGAAATTACGTGTGTGAGTACTTGAGGATACAGTTTGCATAGTTCACAGTAGAACAGCTTCCCACAAGTACTGGTGCTAGCAGTTACTAGTCTAATGATACAGTTTACAGACACGCATAATTTCTGAAAGCACCCATACCCAAATTCTTCCAGTGATTTGTTTTAAGTCAATCAAAATTGTTGCTAGTCAGAAAATGTATGTTGATCTAAAGAGAATGTGAATGCTAATCATTGTTTATATATATCGTTGGAATGTAAATATGGTATTTGCACTAACATGGCTTAGCCAGATGTAATCATGTATATACACTTGTACAGATTTTGTATTTCATATTGTACAATATAAGCATTTTGATCCATGTGACAATATGTTGTTAGTTTATTTGTTGACAGTGCTAATAACGGAGACGATAAGGAATACCGTATTTCCTCTGTTAAGATGTATGTTATCTATGCAGCTAAAGAGTTCTCTCCGTTGTATATGAAAACCATCAAAGTGGCAGTTGAATGGTTTGTGGTTAAAGGCGCACTTGCCCTGAAAAGACAACTGTTCGATTCCCCACATGGGTACAGTGTGTGAAGCCCATCATTCTTTGGAAATATGTCACTTTTTTCACATGTGTCCCTGCTGTGATATTGCTGGAATATTACTAAAAGCAGCATAAAGCCATTCTCACACTGACTTTATATGCTGAGTTGGACTCAAAGATATAAGGGCCATGACTCCAGCATGTGCGTCAGTAGACCCTGGGCTGTTAATGTAGGAAATATGGTATTCACATCTCTGTTAACCATTTATGATACGACTGGTCTAGTCTGATTCCTCACTGGTTTCTCGAATCTTGAGTTGTTCATACCCTCAGGCCAAGTCTAGTCCAAGTCACAGATTTGTTTTAATTTTTCATGATAGTCATCCACAAGGACTGTTTGAATGTTTTCTTTTGTTTATTATCTAACAATCTTGCAACGAGGCTGAGTTGACGAACTTCACTTTCACCATTAATTATAAGTATTTGTTAGCTTTGTGGGCTAAAATTACAATTACATTTGATATACCTTTGTACTTTTTAACTTTATCTTGTATAGTATGAAAAGATTAGTTATCTCCAAAATAGAACTGTAAAATTATAAATTTGGTTACATTTCCATGTCAGTTGGTTGTTATCAATAAATATTATTTCATTAGACTTGACATGATGCAAAATGCTGGGATTGACATGTAATTGTTACAGCGACCTTGATAAGACTGGACAGTTGAAGTATGTCGACAGCAGGCAGTTGGCCAACTGTCATCTCGTCCAGGGTGTAACGGCTGCTGTTGTATAACAACTGTTAATCCCTCCATTCCACGCTGTCTATTGGTTATTCCTTCCTTATTTCATAGCATCTATATTACTTTCATATTTACAGTAATGCACATAAAGAGACACACATTAATGTCTTTGTATTGTCCCAAAGTCTGCTTCATAAAGGACTTCTTCAAACCACAGTCTTTTTGACGATTTTTGGTCAGACTTCACTTACAGTCAAATACTTTAAATTCTGTCAACTAGGATCTGATTATCTCTTAACTGAGTTATCAGTTTGAAATATACACTATATGGTTTACGGCCAGAATATGATTTTATCATCCAAAACTGTGTTCCACAGGAGATATCGCTTGTTTGAGATCAAACGATATCTCCTAGGAGATATCGTTTTGACAGTAGATTTTGTACAATGCCCTGACAATTCTATGACGTCATGTACTTGATGACGTCACAATGCTATGACATCGCTGCACTGCAAGTCTAATGGCAGTACCTATGTTCAGAGATGTACATTTGTCATTGAAAATTAATGAAGAGTGATTTTGGATGATAAATAGAATCTCACCCTCGTGTCTTCTGATATCAAATATATCAACACTCGTTGATAAAAGTAAAAATATCCTCGGCAAGCCTCGGATATTTGTAACTTTATCAACTCGTGTTGATATAATTGATATCAGAAGACACGAGGGTGAGATTCTCTATATGTTTACATCATTCCTGGGTTATGCTGCTTATTCCTTCTGTTTATCAACATTCCCTTCTAGTCTGTCCATGTTGAAGTGACTAATCAGTGTCTGATGTCTGTGTCTGCTGTGATATCACAGTATACACTGTGTGATATCAGTGTATAAAGTGTGATATCTCATGTTAGATCACTGCCGTATCTAGGATTATGACACTGATACCAGAAAATGTCATCAAAAATCTGTTACCGTTATGCAGTATGTATGTTTCATCAGAATGTTCATATTTTCGTCTGTTTCCTGTGCTCGAATTGCAAACATGGCTGCTAAAGTTGCAGTAAAAGATTTGTCACTTTTTTCAATTTGGGGTCTACAGAAAAGTGCCCTTGTGAGGTTTGAACGCTAACCCAGTTACTAGATGCAGACTTGTTAAAATGAAGCTCACTTGCAGGTTTGTTTCAGTCACGCTTAAACAAAATCTGTCAATTGTTGCTAGTCTGCAGCTTCCTGCATCGTCACGTGAACAGAAATAGTCAATTATTCAAATCATTTTTTGTTTGTTTGGTCTAGTCCAGTATGCATTGCCATTTGCCTATAACCTTTATAAAACCCTATTTATTGTCGATGACGCCATAATTCCACTTCACTTATGTCCAACACCACGATGCAGCCAGGGAACAAGGATTATGATATATATTTCTGTCAGAGCGGAATGTCGTCTGCAGCCTATATCATGCGTCCTGTCCTCCACAACCATAGCATGGCCAATCATTAAAGTCACATGTTTCGTTCAGACAGATTCCACAGTGTGTCAAGGTCGACTGGGACACCAGTTAAGGGCTTTGACTGCCAGCCTAAATAGTCACTTTTCACCACACTTTTTAGAAATTTTGATAAGTATGAATGTGTACCCACACACAACAGATTTTTGTTAGATTGTATTCCTTCTTGGCTGTAGATAGCATGGGAAACAGTAGGGCGTATGAAATATCCATATTATGATAATTGCACCACTGTTTCTACTTTTGGGAATTTGTCATTTTAATTTGTGTTACAAATATTCTGGTTTGAATGCTCAGTGTTCAGAGAATGTGGTAGCCATGGTGATGATTCATGACCTGTTCACTTGTCACATCCTTTGGTGGTGATGTCCACTGATACACACTTCGCTGGGCACGCCGAAGACCCGGATTCGATTCCCCACACGGGTACAATGTGTGAAGCCCATTTCTGGTGTCCCCTGCTGTGATATTGCTGGAATATTGCTGAAGGCAGCGTAAAACTAAACTCACTGATCCATACACAGGGAGGTACTGCGATATTGCATGACTGAACAATTGTGAATAGTTTGTGTTTGACATGTTGAGTTTATTTTTTTTTGAATGAGCACAGTTATTGTTTCGGTGTTTCATGTACATTACTACACAACAGTTCCCTCTGTGAGATAAATCCTTATACCACAAACGCTAGACATGTCAGAGCATGTTTTACATGTATGAAGAGCTGTCAGTTTTAACCATTACTGTTTCTTTGCCTTACAAGGTAAGGGGTTGAGTGGGTAGCCTGGTGGTCAAGGTGTTTGACCCACCTGAAGAACCAGGTTTGAATCAGTGTTTATAATTATATGTGAAAATGCCCATATTAAAATTGTAAGGTTTAGATTGTTGTTTTTACAAATATAAACAACTAACCTGAAGGACTTCATTTTTAACACTGACTGAAGTATGTTGAATGTTATTGCTGAGTTATTTAAAAAACAATATCCGAAGTTTTTGACAAGAAAGTGAAAGATTCTGAATGTTGAAAGGAGAGTGTTCAGAGATTTTATAAGAAAAGTATGTGTTTAGTTATGGGCAATATCAAAACTTTCTAATCATCAGTGTTTGAATTTCTGGGAAGGAAACATGTTTGTTAACCTACCAACATATAAAGAAATATATTGTTGCACATTGATTCCATTGTACATGTATATCAGCTAGTGATGTGTTATGACATGTATATTTCCTGTCTGGCCATGTGTTACTGTGTATATTTCCTGGTGCATGTATATTACACATGTATATTTCACAGCTGATGTGTAGACAGCTGTGTACCATGAGCCTCCTCAGCCAACAGTCTGCTAGTCACATACCCTTATATGGGCATGCATTTGTACTCTCGTGTAAATAAACTGTCAATCTTTGAAATGGAAAAACTGATTGTGTCATATTGTCAAACATCTTCGATGATCCAGTGTGTGTTATCTCCCTTGTATTATGCTATATACCCTGGCTCCATTCACTGCCATAGATTTGATGTCACAGCTCCATCTGTTTTTCACCATCTTCACGAGGCAAGGGAATTACACGTTTCCAAGCTTGCCGATATAGGCTGGAATTTTGGAGTAATGTTTTGGGTGCACTAACAAGTCGGCATATCAGATGAAAACCCTACAATGAGCTCCACATTTGTTTCATAAACTGGCAACTACTTCAATGTGGGGATTTGCAGGGCATGTGAAGGGTCAACTGGTATTGATAGATATTTTCCAGATCTTTAGGGCTGTTTGTTCAGAGTTGAACACTGGTTAGCCGAATCCTCTACTGCACTCCAGTTCCCTCTAGAGTTCTGTCCAATATACAACCTGAAGTCTGATCATGGGTTCGAATCCCATATCCCAGATCATGTTCGTAAGGTGGTCAGTACCATACCCATGGTCACATTGAAAAGGGAAATCTTCATGACCACCTTCGGTTCAGGGTTTCATACCGGCTGACGTGTGATACAGATAAAACGGGTTCAGGCTAAAACGGAACCACAGCAAAACGGCACCTGGCGAAAACGGCACCATTTGGACATAACGCAACCTCGACTTGGCGAAAACGGCTACAAATCTTACGGCGACAACGGCACCAACTAAAATCTTATGGGGAAACTAGTTTGTTATAAGATAATCGGATTGCAGATAGTAAATACATCTACTATTATGTCGGAACTATCAAAATTTAAGAACAATTTATGGAATGCCCTACCAAATTCCAAGGCGTCATGTAATCTCACAGAATTTAAAAACCTAATTACAAAAACTGAAAATAAGATTTACTTTGACCTTAATTATGGCACTCGTTTTTGCCAAATCGTTCACTGCCGCCTCAGGCTCGGATGTAGCGTCCTAAACGCCGATAAGTATAACAGACATTTAATAGACAGCCCTTGTTGTTCTTGTGGACATCAGAGTGAAAACGCCCTACACTATTTCCTCACTTGCCGTAACTATACTCGGATAAGACTTAATATGCATTTTTACACTACCGGTTATAACCTGGATACCATTCTCAAGGGAAACAAAGAACTTACTCCCTGTATAAACCAGAAAATAGTTGAATCTGTCCACGATTATGTAACCAAGACACAACGCTTTAAATTTTCTCAGGAAAATAATTAAATTTACTCAACAACCTTCTCATGATTGATTTATATTTCTACAATGTCTTGTGAGACACAACTGTAACTCTCTACTTAGAGAATAGACAATCTAGACAAGACAATCCCAGCCACAGCATCCAGTGGGACGGAGCCAAACTCTAACGACCAACCCCAAAGACTTTAAACTCAGGAAACTTCAAGAAGACATCTACATCACAAGACTCCGACCGTCAATCAACCGTGACCAAGACTGTTACATACCTCCTGCATACTACCAACTCATCAAAGATCCCCATCATTGATAATCCCTTTTTGTGTGCTTCTAGTTTCGAATGAATGGTTTATTCTCATGAACATCACAATTGTGACACAGAGAAAATTACAAATGTACAGGTTTGTTTATGGGAGCATACGAAGACCGGTTTTCACATAGTTGCTTATTTTTAACAGTAGTGTTTGTGCATGCAAGAGATTAGGCATATAAATTTATCTAAATAATAATTTAGTGGGAATGAATTTATTACTTTTCTTAAATATGGACGATATAACAAAGTCAAGTTCATCTCCTTTTGTATTCTTACACAATGTACATAATCTTTCTTCTTTAATAACATTATACCATCTACCTGTTTCTATTGGGAGTTTATGGTTACAAGTTCTAACGTAGGTAAGCCAAATGCGTGCATTTAATGGAACTTTCAAATAACGTTCAAGGTATTGAGATAATGTACACATATGATAATAGTGGCCTTTAGTAGATTTTTGATTTACATTCGTTCCTGTGTTGATAAAACGTGTTACATAATATATAGACTTAAGATTATTTTTTAAGCCAAATCTTACTTGTGCAAGTTTGAGATATCCATACATAGTTTAAGCCAGAACATTCCAAAATTGTTTTAATTACATTGATAAGAGGTAAATATGTATTTGGGTTATTCGTTTTCATTGTAAACATGATCCTATATAAAAAATACTAGACAATGTGCCAGTTGATGAGATTAGTTTGCACCCAGTATGAAATGATTCTAACCTTTATAAGTATATCTAGTGGATATATTTCCAATTAATATATCATATAATCTGGG